AATGTTTCCATTTCCAGTGCTGCGGACAGCAGCAACGTGTTTCAAGTTAGATATTGCTCTAACAAGACCATGCCAAGATGAGACATGCTCAAATCTTGATCCAATTTCACACAATTTTGACTCATTTTGTAAGTCAGTTTTGACTACACGAACTTCCTTGTCTGTATCGGGGTTGACAAGTGGATAGTCCTTGTAATTGTTCTCCTCGCTGTTGTCGCAAAGATATTGAGGTCCATTTAACCAAAGGCTTTCCTGTATATTACTCGCAGAAACAGAACGGGTTGCCTCATCGGCAGGGTTTAGCTTCGTTGGGACATAATTCCAATCCTCGGGACTACTGCAGCGTCGGATTCGGTCTACGCGATTTTCAACGTATGTGAAGAAGCGTTTGGTCTCGTTTCGAATGTATCCCAAAACGACTTTGCTGTCGGTGAAGAACCGGACACTATCAAAGGTAACGTCTAGCTCGCTGCGAACAACTTCATACAGTTCTATAGCTAGAACAGCAGCGCACAGCTCTAACCTCGGTATGGTATGTCCGTGCTTTGGGGCTAGCTTTGATTATTTGGTATGGCATCACATTCGATCAGGCTAGGGAGTTCTAAACTCACGTTCAGGTCCATGGAGTCTACAACAAATCCCAGAGATATTCGACCACATGTAGTTACTCTGCCTCCGCAAGTAGATAGAAGATAGCTTTCTTGTTTAAAATCACAATCAAATATGTCGAAGAGTTCTTTCCTTGCAAGAGATCTATTGCTCTGTTCATCCAAAATTGTGTAAGCTCGAATAGGACTGTGAGTACTCATTTTGTGTCTCACTTGCACTTGAACAATTTTGGCACATGATTTACCAGAAAATGTCTCTCCACATATTTCTGTGCACTTTGCGTCAACTTGAGGCTGGACCTTCTCCCCGCCGTAACTATCCGAGGACCTTTGTCGGTTTTCATCGTGCATGGCTGAACAATGATGCTTACTGTCACAAATTTCGCACTTAACTGTTTCTGTACAGTTCTGTCTTCTGTGCTTACTGTTACAGCACCTAAAACAAAGACCATTTTGCTTCAGGAGCTCACGGCGTTCCGAGAAATCTTTCGCTTTGAAGGCTCTTCAGTCATTTAAAGAGTGCCCTGCTTTATGAATTAGACATCGAATTTTCTCTTGTGTAGCACTGTCCTCCATACCAACCGATGTCTTGTTCACAGAGACCTGTTGTTTAGATAAGCGACGTGTTGTTGCGTGAAGGTCAGCATCTCCACCAAACTCAAAACCTGGGTCATTAAATGTTTCTGCCATTTCCTGAATGAAGCCACAAAAGAACGAGAAGGGTGGAAATGTTTCCTTTTTAGTACGTTTGTAACTCATTGCTCTGTCACGCCACTTGTTACGAATTCCCATAGGAACTTTCTGAAGAATAGGTTTTATACCCACTGACGTATTTAAGTAGCCAAGAAGTCTGCCATACTTGGGATCCTGCATAACGGCACGGACTTCATTCAGAGTGTCAACAAGCTCGTACAGTTTTGTATTATCCTTGTGTGTGATGTTGGGTGAATTTTGAAGTTTTTGTTTCAGCGCATGCTCTACTCTTTCCGGGCTTCCATAGAAAGTGTCCATTCTTTCCCATGCCTTCTGTAAGGCTTGTTCATGATTTCCTGCATTTGAAGTTTTGATACTAGCAACCTGAGCACTAGATTTTGGTCCGAGCCACTTTACCATAAGGTCTACTTCTTCGGAAGGCTTAGCACCGATTTCACTCATAACCTCCTTAAAGGTGTTCTTCCATGAAAGGTAAGCTTCTGGTTTATCCCCAAATTTCAAAAGCCGTCCTGTAATAAGCTCTCGCTTCATTAAATATTTTGAAATTTCCACAGTACCATCTGGCCTATTGGGAGGATATTGAGGCCCTGCAGGTAGAGGATCTTGGGGCAAAGCAGGAGTGCTATGGTGAGTCGGGGGTGACATGTGTAGATCGCACATTGGTAGCTGTTTTTGTTTGGCTATGTGGATATTTTGTTGGGGTGTTTGAGGAATGTCAGGAATCTGACTTGGAAATGATGTTACACACGGATCACTAGACTGAGGCACAAAAGGGTGAGCTTGTGGGTCCAAGTGAATTCTCGGAATAGCAGAAAGCTTTAACGGTAATGTATCCTGTCTGTCATTCATTATTCTGGAAGCTGACACTGGTGGGACAGGAAGCTTGCGTCGAGGCGGGGCAGCCCTCGGGGATGACAAATGTATTTTGCTAGATAAAATGTAGTCAGCGGTACGTCTATGGACGCTTTCTGGTGAAACTGGAGCACTTCCGGTTAAAACTGGACCACTTCCGGTTAAAACTGGACCACTTCCGGTTGAACCTCGAGCACTTCCGGTTGAAACCTGGTCTTCAAGTTCATGGAGAACAGCATTATATTCCACACTAGCGACTTTGTCCTCTTGTTCTGCCTTCAAATTTTGCAATGTAGCTGTGATTTCTGCTGTTCTGAGGATTGACTCTGCTTCCAATCGAGCCTTTTCCTTAAGTAGGTTAGATTCTCGAAACACAAACTCTTTGTTCGTTCGCGCTGCTTCTAGTTTTGCTCGCTGTCGAGCCAGAACCACACTTGCCGAAGATTTTATTGATTTATCCGATTGGTAAAGGCTTCCATTTCCATCAACTGACTTTGATTTTTTTTTACTAGAATGTTTAGGAATTAGGGCCACCGCTTTTTCCACCTGCTCAGTAACAGCTTTGAACATAGTTTCCTGTTTACGCAGTTCCAATCCGGCTTCTTTAGAATTTTGCCTGATCAAGTAATCTTTGTATTCAAAGGACATTTTCAAAAATCGCCCATATGTGTTATGTAGTGCAGGTAATGTTCTACATTGAAGGTCACTATCATCTCCCAACATTAAAATTAGTTCATCAAGTTCCTGCCTGAGAGGAAGGAGTTTCGAGTAGTAGCTCTGGACCTTCAATTCAAAGAGTTCATGAGCCTTAACTGTAGGCTTATGGACGCGTTTCTGGGGTTCCCCTTCTTCGTGTGATTTTCCCTGGTACAGGGAGTCTTTGTCCGAGTTGACTGGCGATTCCCTGAATTCTGCCATTATAACATCACAATCTTTTCACTGTTATGGCAGTTAACCACAATCCAAACACATTCATTCAAAGTTTATTTCTGCTAAGTAGCCAGGTACTGGCACGTCAATTACATGTATCAGATGTGAAGATGGATGATGTGAACAGATGATGTGCATAGATGGTGTGCATAGATGGTGTGGTGAAAAGATTGTGTTCTGACAAGGGAAAACCATATATTTCTTCTATTTACCGTGGTGCACGGTGCCAACATCTTTTCAAGCATAACAGGAAGTGGGTAAAATTGTAACTTCCAAAACAACACAGAACATAAATCCGGAAAATAGAGGTTACATTAATAAGAAAAACAAAATCCGGATGAAGGTTTTTCCCGTGTCAAGACACCTCCAAACCTTTGTCTGTGTAAGTTCGCGTTAGTCTCCATCAACCTTCATTCCTCCAAACCTTTGTCTGTATAAGTTCGCGTTAGTCTCCATCAACCTTCATTCCTCCAAACCTTTGTCTGTATAAGTTCGCGTTAGTCTCCATCAACCTTCACTCCTCCAAACCTTTGTCTGTATAAGTTCGCGTTAGTCTCCATCAACCTGCATCCGTCCAAACCTTTGTCTGTATAAGTTCGCGTTAGTCTCCATCAACCTGCATCCGTCCAAACCTTTTTCTGTATAAGTTCGCGTTCGCCTCCATCAACCTTCACTCCTCCAAACCTTTGTCTGTATAAGTTCGCTAGCAGTCGACGTCTATCACTGCAGTCTTGATATGTTAAGCACGCTCCTAAATTCCGATTCAAATGCGAATAACAAACAACGTGGGTTGGAAAGATGGGTGTTACTATCAAAAAACGGAAAGTTAACAATCAAAATATTTAAATGGCCACCTTATTAGTAGACCGTACCTAATTGTCGTGATAAAAATAATAAATCGGCCTATAAATGGAAATCCCATAGGAATATCAAGAGTCAAGAAGTGGATTTTGATAGATTTATATTAGTTGAAACACAGTATCTCTTACCAATCTTTATTCTTTAGCCAATATGATTAAAATACAGTTGTTAATTTATCACTTACGGCGTTATCTCTGCAGACGCAGGTTAATGAAGATCTGTTTTTTAATAAGATTTTTCTTAAGCGAGAAACAAATTGTATGTGATGTCTGTTCATTTGTTTCATCCTATGTTTGAATGTGCAAAAATGAAATCTAAACAGATACGTAATACAATTTGGAATAATTATTGATTGTACGAGATGGACATGAAATTGTTGAAGAAATTTGTTAACAGATTATTTAACAGACGGCAAATAAATCAAACAAATCCATTTTAGAGGAGTTACTGGCCACGTGGTTACGTGCTCGGTGGATCAAGTGCAATAAATTGGATGGTGTACATGAGAGGTAATCGCCATGACTACGACAGTTGGGCGGCCGAGGGATGTGACGGGTGGAGTTACAAGGATGTTCTTCCATACTTCATCAAGTCGGAAAATATCCAAATTCCCGAGTTTAAAACATCAAGTAAGTTTTTTTTTACTTTGTATCGAACTGAAGTTTCTGTCAGTATCAAAAGGTTTTGAACACAAAGAATATATCTGTCTTCAGCTATACAGTTTATAGTACGAAACGAATTTTCTCTAACAAATGTAAAGTAAAACACCTTGGAAATACACTTGATTCAAAATACAATTTGTCATGAATGTTATTCAAACGATCATTTTTTGTATTCAATTTTCAATTGTGTATGATAACATACAAACACCCCAAGGTGTTTATGTGCCATTCACTCATATAGCATTGCAAAGCTATGACTAGTTCTTCATAATACCGGTCACACACTAAATCATTGCATAAACCACAATTTTATTTATATCGTTCAGCAAAGGGTGTTTTGCACAGATTTCGGTTACTTTTACTGGTATTTGGATTGAGGTCTTATGACAGTAATTCTACGCACACAAATGACCAACATTTGTCGTAGCTGTATGTAATAAAATGTTTGCTGTGTATACACATTCATGGTAAAAATTGTTGCTATGGCACCACAAAAATATATTCAATGAATTTGATTGAAATACTTTACAACTGTTTGTTTATATTAAGTATCGAAGAACGTTTGTACTAGAAAACGATATAAATTGTTCAAAACACGAACATTTCTTGTTATAAAGTCTATGAGCCTTTGTATGTTGGCAGAGTATCACGGAAAGAACGGACCCCTGTACGTGACAGGTCCAACACTGACTCCGCTTCAGGAGAAATATATCCAGGCCGGTCAGCAGCTGGGCTACAACTTTGTGGACTGTAACGGAGAGGATCAGATAGGTAACAATCAAATACTGAAAAGTACTCATATTAAGAGCAAATTCAACGTTGCCTAAAGCCTAATAATTACACAACCACTATACAATCGGATACATTCAATGTTTATATGTTATTTTTCGTTCGTAAACACTCCTCCTCACGAGTCAATAAGCAAAAGCAAGAAAATACCGAAGTGTTTAAAAACATCAATTCGCCCTCAAAATTGGTCAAACTAGAGCATATATGAACAAAGGAAAGATTATCATGGAGTCTTCCGAAAAAGCAAAAGGAGAATACGACTTCTGCGTTATCGACAATTAACACCCGACATGTAAACCAAGGTCATAGCCGCGTCCTAACACCGAGAACTCGGCTAGTGACAACAAAACCACAACCACATTAATGAGCATGATTAAAATATCGACCTTCATTTCTCACAAAGAAAAGTATTTATCCAAATTGTATCATGATGGCAACCAAATAAAACATTGTGTTGTAAGTGCGTCCAACAGCAGTCGACATCTGTCAGAGAAGTAATGATATTCGGATCAAGCTCTTCAATGCCGAAGGTATGGGAAGCTGGGATGTTACCATCAAGAACGGAAATTTCACGATTGGAAAAAAGAAGTCGACCCGTTCAGCATACAGCTTAGTAGTACGCCGTACCTGATTGGTAATGTTTTAAGTTAAGATCAAGGAAAGCGGCTGAAGTATTTGTTTGTTTGGGGCTTAACATCCCTGCAACAGCCAGGGTCATATGAGGTTGGGTGCCTAGGGAGACACCACCTGAAGCAAAAAGTAGATAAAAACGAAAGAAGATATAAAAGATAGGAAATGAAAAAGATCCCAAGTGTCGCAATGGAGGCAGCATATCAATTTTGGTCTCTTCCATGTCTTTTTCGCAGTAGACACGGAAGAAAAAACCCAATTCTACAGGGGGCCAAGTTAGTCGCGTTTAACGATACAAATGCAGTGAGTTACAGCAGGTCTATTCTTGATTTCTGCAATGCCCCCTAAAGAGAAGGCAAGGAAGAACAACCCCCGATTCTGGAAGAGACACATTAGTCGCTTCTTACGATATCTTTCCCCGAAGTATAAGAGTTTGTAGTGTTCTTGATTGCAAGCCCAATAAGGTATCTCCGATCGATGTGGTAAATACATTTCTTGTTATTTAGTTATATGTGTATGCATTTTGGTAACTCATTATCGGAATGTGTACAAATATTCGTTATAATGACATTTACTATAACAATTGAATGCGAGTTTTAATAGCGAATTATCAGAACTTGTATGACTATTCACTGTAGAGATATTTGCTATTACAGAGGATTTTTGGAGACCAGATCATTAATAAACTGCATGCACGGCGAAAGTGCAATGTAAATCAACATGTACAGTGACATTTTTTTATCATAGTTTTATCGATTTTAGGATCAAAGTACGGTTTTGCTGACACTTGGTGTTCTCTTTTTTTTCATTTTTATTTGTTTATTTATTCAGATATGCAATGAAGACGTTAAGGCAATCAATTAGCAACAATATTTTTTCAATTCAAGTCAACGACAATTTTCATATCACTTTGCTTTTATTACATCAGGATTTTGCAGGATGCAAGCCACAATACATAAAGGAGTACGGTGGAGTACGTATCAAGCCTTTCTCAAGCCAGTCATGACCAGGTCAAATTTGCATGTGGCAACGCACTCTATTGTTACCAAGGTATATACACAATATTCAATAAGATTCTTCAGTGTGGAAAGATGTAATATCAAAGTTTTACTTAATACACAAACAAAGAATTTTTAAACTTGAAACAATGTTTCAACACCAACTGGTCCCTTTGTCAAGCTATGACTGAGCTATGACTGAGCAATGCCTGAGCTATGACTGAGCTATGACTGAGTTATGACTGACTTATGACTGAGCTTTGACTGAGTAATGACTGAGCTATGACGCTCATTCAGTCATAGCTTGAAAAGGGGACTAGTCGGTCTTGAAACGTTGCGACACGTTTCATACGTACATTGTTTGTGTAAAAATTAAAACTTTGGTGATAATAAGGTATATATGGTGTGGTTTTTTTATATTAGTATTTGCTGAAAACGTAGATGCTTTTGCCACTATTATGTTGTATACTTCTTTACATATTAATTATTTGATAAGGAATATTGTAGTTTAAATTCCATTTAAATAGTTTTTATTGACACAGATGGAACAGTTATTTGGATAAAACAAAAATGCAAACCTACCTTTTTTTCAATTCTTGGCCAATATTATTTGGTTAGAATAAACACTGAAATAAATGTAGAATTTCGTTGAAATCGATTGACGATGCCCATGTGTAACAAACAAATGAGACAGTTACGCTCTACGGAATATGTCATGCAAATTCGAACGACTCAGTGTGCGCCACCCTGTGGATGATACAAGAAGACTGGTTTTATCATTTGATGTACAACAAAAAAGTCCCGTGACAGCCTTACGGTAAAATTGACTGACTTTGAATTCAGATATTTCTCCTCTGTAATTTTCAAAGGACATGCGTATATCAGACTAGCGATTGGTCAGGCTATGTTTACCCGAGACCAATCAAATAGCTGGGTGCGGCCTTCAATTTTGCCATGATATACTCCAGGGGTGCAGAGAGTTTTAGTGAGCATAACTCCTGGAGTATCGAAGATGCCTCTGATAAACACAATAGAATGACAAACTAAACCAAACATTTTATGAGTAAAGTCTATGATACTGTACAATCAAATATAAGATGCTCTAATTCTAAATCATAATTTTACTAGATTTAATTCATTAGTCGTACATCTTTTATAAAATCAAAAGCATTTTGATTAAATATTTTAATACTAATTCTACAACATATAACTAAATAGCTCTAATTGGTTTTATGACGTCTTTTAAATATTGTGACGTCACTTAGATTTAATGACGTAGCTTGAATTTAATGACCACGTTACAGGTGATGATAGAGAACAAGAAGGCGGTGGGAGTAGAGTTGATCAGAAAGGGTCGGAAGGTAAAAGTATACGCAAATAAGGAGGTGATATTGTCCGGAGGTACAATCAACTCGCCCCAGACCCTCATGTTGTCGGGGATAGGGCCGAGGAAACATCTTGAGGAGATGGGGGTACGTAAATTAACATGTGTTTGTATCCGTTACCTTAATGGTTCTTTCATCACAATGCCATAACGTTATTTCGCGTTTCTTTTTTTTTATCACATCAACATTTGATTGATAGATTTGAACAATTAATTAAAACAATTGATTGTTCTGTATTCAAATTTTACAGCAACAGTATCTGAATGTCTTGTATTTTCCAATAGAATTTAAAATTCTTCTTTTTCTCCTAGAAACTAAATTTGTTTAAAAAGATACATAACAGTATACCGAAGATGGATCAATTAACAGCTCTGTATACCTTCCTCGAAACGCATGTTTCTACATTGAAAAATGACTGTCCTGTGTTTTCCCTGGTACATCTAACAGTATTTTAATAGACAGACATTTATTTCCTACTTTAAAAAAGATGTTGTGAATTGTTCTCTTGATCATGTTACAGATAGACGTTGTAGCAGATCTACCAGTAGGTAACAACCTACAAGACCACATACTTATACCTGTCGTGCACAGCATTAACATCAGTGCAGCACTGACGGAGGAGAAGGGCAACGCCGTTCAGTCAGTTCTACAATACTTATTGTTTAAATCAGGCAAGTTCTTCATGTGTTTATCACCTTTATGATCAGATATAAAAAATATATACAATATTTCTTTAAAATGGCTTCTCATTATTGACATGTTTTTCGTGTTGCAAACCATTTTGAAATAAATATCGTATATAGTAAATTAACTGTTCGCTACATTAAAACAATCTTACTGCATACTGATGTGCTTCGAAATGTAATCGTTTTACTCAAACTCGAAATGGAACAGAGTCATTGAAATAGCTTGATATCGTCTGAATATTGCGACAAGATATGCATGAAAACTGAAATGAATGAAAAACATGATGATGTTCATGTTATTTATGTTCAAAATAGTTTTATATCAAACGTAATGTAATCCTACGGAGGATATGTGTGTAATTTGTATTACAAACTCTATTAAAACTTGTCAAGTTTGGAACCTTTTTATAAAGGAGGTACATATTATTACACAGTATGTGAAACACTTAAATAGGTAAACATTTCTTACTAGGCTACATAGCGGCTACTGTATTGGAGGCCATGGGATTTGTTTACAAGGATGGAACTACAAAGGATGATGGGCGGAGTCCAGATATACAGTTGCACTTCATGAGTGCGCATGGGCTTACAGAAAAAGGCAAAGCGCATATTACGATGAACTATAGAGATGATGTAAGCATTATATAACAACCTTGTAACAAACTGTTAGTCAAGAGGATTATTGTGCTTAAGATTATCGTAAACTATAAGGTTTCAACGTTGTAAGAGGTCACAGGCGACAAATAAGGTTAACGTAATATTTTTCATAGTTTTTTATCTCTTTTTCAAAATTTTACTTGTATTGACATCCAGTCAAGGTTTATGATGAATGAATCATAATCTTACTTATTAAGCAGGTATATCTAAATAACAAAACCACGTTTTTCTACCACTCGTTTTGACATATAATTACATCTTGAAGTAATTTGTGTAAATGATATAAAATACATAGTGTATATGAGTTTTTTTTATTAATTAGATGATACTAATTAAGTTAAGTTACTTGTGTTCATTTCCATGCTTGCATTAGAATATTTTTATGTAACTATAAAAATAAAAAAGGCAGGTCAATATCAAACTGTTCGATATATAAATACCAAAGTTTATATGAAATGTGACAATTATTGTGTGGCTAGTTAACGTTAAAGTAGTTATTAAAACAGTTGTACAAGGTTATTATATAAGGAGAACCCCTTGCGATTAAAGAATAATCACTAGCATTTATTCTGTCGAAACAGAGAGCTCAAACAGGAAATTTTAATTACATTTCACCTATTCATATCTCATCGCATCCTCGATACTCAAGGGGTAACGCTCGTTTACGCTCTTTGACCTCTGGAATATGTCATAGCAAACTTCAAAGCTCATTGTGCGCTACCTTGTTTAAGAAAAAAACAAGAAGACTAGTTCGATCCTTCGATGTACATCAAAAGAATCAGGCGGTCGCTTAACGATAAAAATTGATTGACTTTAAAGTCAGGTGTCTCTACTGTAATTTTCAAAGGAGAGGTATCAGCCAAGTGATTGGTCAGGATTTGTTTTACCGGGACCAACCAAACAGCTTTCGTCGTGCCTTCAATTTTGCTATGACATATTCAATGGGTGCAGAGAGCGTTATTGAGCGTAACTACTTGGAGTATCGAGGATGATCTATTCAGTGATTTTCACTCATTTGACCTTCTAAGCTCTAAAATTTCGTTATTAACGGTAAAATTTGAGCAGTGTGAAATATACATAATTTCAGATTATGAACAGCATATTTACATACGATCCAGCCAAGGAGACAATCCAATTTTTACCTACCCTTCTCCATCCTAAAAGTAAAGGCACGATCCGCCTTAAGAGTAAAGATCCTTTCGACCATCCCGTCATAGATCCTAAATACTTAGAGGACCCGGATGATGTCAAAACCCTCATAGCAGGTATGTTTTTCTGTTGCAGAAAACATTTCATATGATTTCAGACATTTTGTTAGGCTTTGTAAACTTCTTTTCCAAATTGCGATTTAACATATTGTCTTGTTTTATGTCGTTGAAATATTGAAGGAAAAATTCTATGTAATAAAAAGAATTATGTAGCACTCCGAGTTGGTTGCGAATGTACATGACAAAAACTTGTCTATAATTAAATAAAGATAGGTACAATAATAACAATATATCTTCTGATTTAATTGTAGAAATGTGTCTTTGGTCTTTTTTGTAAATAACTTTAATTCAATTGAAGATTGATTCAATTCAATTTTACTTATCTGTTTTATACTTAAAGATAGATGCAAATATTTGTTGCTGTTTCATTTTCCATATCAATTTCGTCTCATTCACCTTATTTATACAAATCTGCAAATAAATTGAAGCTATATACCATTTAATTTAACTTGTCTTCATATATTTGAACTATATGAATTTGAAACTAAAGTTTAGAGCGATGATTCTGAGTTGTTCTTGTCAATAAATGGTACAGAAGATATTCAAATATCTCAAACATTTTCATTTTTCACACAATTTCAGCTATGAGGATCATTGAAAAGCTTGTCGACACACCAGTCTTGAAGGAGATTGGAATACAACTTGACAGTAAGTCGACAATGGAGGAACTGTGTGATCAGCATACGTTCCGGTCAGATGCATTCTGGGACTGCTACATACGTCATTACACGCTGACAGTGTACCATCCAACAACTACTTGTCGTATGGGAGCTTTGGATGATCCGACGGCTGTTGTTGATCCCTCCCTACGGTAAGTACGTCTTTATGATAGGAGACACTCTCTAACTATTGATATTAAATTTAGTTTTAGTATTATACAAACATAATGCCGCAATCAGAAGTAACTGGTGTTTTTTTACAATAATACGATACAATGCAAGTTCTTTTTCATGTTAAGATGATGCATGATTTTAGCAATAACTTCGTTTTTAGTCAATATGCATGTTTATATCTAGATATCCAAATAATGTCTAGCAATCTTGTGATTTTGACATGACTAAATATTGTTAATTCATCTGATTTAGTACAAGAGGCGACTCGAAAAAAAATTCACATATCGGTCAACATCATCCCTGAGGAGAAACTATTTCATATTTCGTACAGTCAAAACATGGAACAATCTTTCGGGGGTCGTTTAATTTTGTTAAACAATGAGATGAGTTCGTTTTATTTGCAGTGTTAGGGGTATATCTGGACTACGTGTGGCTGACGCGTCTGTGATGAGGAACGTTCCGTCAGCTAACACAAACGCCGCCTCCATTATGATCGGAGAAAAGGCGGCAGACCTTATCAGAGGAAAGGATTCTGTCCAGGATATCAAAAGAATTCTGCAAAAAAGCAAACTTTGATGAATATTGTTATTCTAGTATAAATATTTTTTGTAAATTAATGTATGATATTTTATTTGCATGATTTTTTAATGAATTAATATGATTTAATTATTATTATTGAGTGGTAAAAGACCAAAGAGCGGTCCTTTTCCGACAGCTTGAAATTCATATCACATATGTCCTTTGTTTTTTCTTTAAGTTACTGAACATTCGATCTGCACTGTTTACGTTAATTAATGCGAAAGGAATCCCAATACAATCTATGGCATCAAACTTATGAACGTTACATAAAATACTCCGTAATAGGTTTGTATTATAGTGAAAGGTGTTTTTTTTCAATCACTGATGTACGTGACGAATACCTCTGTACAATTGAAATAGTATAATGAAAGGAACAATAAATATAGTTGATTTATTAGTTCAGTCTGGCCATAGTAATGCTGGGTTCAATTGATATCTAAAATTGTGACGGAAGATAACTTTATTTTCTCTTTTGGCCACATTGGAATTTATTTATTTCCTGTACTCGGGATGTGAGTGTAAATTAACCTATCTGTCCAGCCATATTTACCGTATGGTAGAACAGAACATCCTGTGTACATCTGGATAGGAATATGTCCACTAACGTCTTCCAAACAAAGGCAGTTTTCAAGATATCTACTTCAATCTGTCAAAATACATCAAATGTTTTCCCAAAACTATTACTATTTATACCGTTAGTTGATTTTAGGATAGAAACTTTAACCTTAACATAGATTTCGGATGGTATTATCCCAAGGAATACACCGCCTTGGTGCTTCAAGTGATGACATTATCCCAATGAATTCACCACCTTGGTACTCCAAGTGATGATATTATGAAAAGATATTTGAAAGGAGTTTGATTTCTGGTTACTTTTCAGATCTTTCCCATATATCCTATGGTGATTAATGTATCACTGTGTTTGCGTTTGTCCGCTAAGTTAAGCTAACAAACCTAAATCATTTTACTCTGTAATAAGATAGTTTATATATTTAATTAAACCAACCGTAACATCACATGTTAGCCTTTATATGTAACACTGCTAAACGTAAATGGAAAACATAGTACAAAGGATGTAATAGTTATATCCTTATAATTCTACAACTAGAATAATGTCTAACTTAAGAGCCGTGTGAAGTAGGCTGTCATTATGTCTGGAGCCCATACACAAATAAGGAAGTTGAAACATAAGGAAAATGCGTAAAGATGAATCCTGGATTTAAGGGACACTTAAACAATGAGAAGTGCTTGTTATATTTAAATCTCGAGACCTTTAAGTGCAGAATGTCAAGTCAAGATCTGGATTATTAGACAAAGGGCCGGTTTCCAAAACGACAAAATCCACATGTCGTTGTGGTCACAAATCTATAAAGTATAAAGATGTAGGTCACTTGGTTTGTTTTTTATGGCTCCTCAAAGTTGTACCTTTCAGAAGCTGTCTAAGTGTTGATAAAATGTGCATGTTATGTAAAATATTAATGAAAATCTAATCAAATGATGGTCACCGTAAAGAATACATTCATGGCATGATTGTGACAAAAAATCATGTTTCCATCGCGCCATTTGGCTGTTTTATGGAAGAAACAATCTCAAAAATGCCATTTTCGATGATAACATTTTAGACACAAAAACTGTGTTTTTTAGAGAATACACCCTTTTATGGGCGTTGGATGCAAACCAATTTTTATCCTATTAAACAGTACGTAATATGCTATTGATGAGAGGAAAAATCATCAAAATGTAAGTGGTGGAACATTTTCAAATGTTGGGTTGAATTAGCCTATGGTTGAATTGCCGATTTTCGACTTTCTTTAGATAATTAACAAAAAAACGAGAGTATTTGCTCGGTATGTTGAGAATATGTACACAGATATGAAAAAAAGTGAGAGAAACACTTTTTCATAAAAAAAATCCAAGATGGCTACTTCACAAGTCCCCGTGGTTGAAGACATTGGCTGACAAATAGACAGAACAACAAACAAAACGTGTTCCTTATGATTTTGGTTGGTTTTCGCATTTACGGGAGTGTTCATAGCTACGGGCGATTGTATAATACCTATATTTATAAGTTTGGTTAGTCACATGGTAACGGGGATCTTTCATATCGAGCCCCAAACATACTTTCGACATATGCACTCCGTTGCCGCATGGAAAACTATTTCAAGTTTTGTCGGAATTTCTTTACCTGTGGTTGTAATGGTCGAGGGTTTTCCAGCGTCCTGTAATACCCAAGGTAGTACAAGATACTGGAGATGTGCGCACACATTCCCATCGTTCTCTCTCCAACTGGGCACTGGCAGTAGTAGTCCTTTATTGGGGCCTCAACATCGGGTGAAACGGTGAACCGTATCCAAACGTTATATTTCGTTTGGCTTTTGTGTCGAGAATGTATTTGACATCGGAGAAGGTCTGGGGAGTGCTGGTAAAGCCACACCTCATAGTCTCCGTCATCACTTAAATGTTCGGCGATGTAACCAGGAGCCAGAGATATCTGATACGTTCCACACGTAATGGTTCTCAAGTAATCAAGATCGAGACGGGGAAACAGTACGGAAGATGCATCCATCTTGACAAACTCGGACCTTGCCCGTCTAGATAGATCCGGATCTGTCTTGACTCTCTGAGCTAAACCATTCGGTGTTGTCAAACGGTCCTTCATACGTTCAGCCATTAGCCTATCTTTGGCATCTCTCTCTGGAGATCTCTGGTAGATCGGTCCTCTAATACCATTCAGACAGGCTGTGACGGTTCGAAGCAAAGCCTCGATGACATTGATAAAGCTGTTAGACACCAATTGCGTTCGGAAGAACGTCCAGTGTTTCAGACGACCATGATAGGATTCCACAATCCACCTCGATTTGGTGATAGTTCTGTCAAGATTTGCTTGGACGTCAGAATGTTGACTTTGACCGGGTTTCAGGTATGACGGCATGCTAGCATTGAGGCCAGAGGCTTCGAGAACTGGTAGGACATCTCTAAAACCTCGGTCAACGACAACGTTGTCGTCTGGTTGTAGCCAAGTAACTAGCTTGTCCATGACTTTTTTTGTAATTGTAGCATCATTTTCGCTGCCAGTGAATGGTCCTACTGTGTCCAGAATGTAGCCATCTGGTAAGGCGATGCTCATGAATTTGAGATAGTTTCTCTTCTTCTGGCCACAGTAGGACATTCTCTGGAGCTTGTGGTCGGAGCTTTTCTGGATATAAATATAGGTGCCATCTAATATGGCAGTGGCTTTATCTCCAAAAAATGCTTCTGAAAAGACAGTATTGTGCCCGAGCAACTGTTCTCTTGTCAAGTGATCCGGACCTAGAAATTGTGGGACTATCGATGTGTCTAATGCCTGTACTATGGAGTGGAAAGTTTTGGACACACTTGACTTGGAAATTCCAAAAAGAGAAGAACACTGACTCCAGGAAATGTCGGTTTTCAGTTTTACCCAGAACAGTAATAGAGCATCGTGTGTAGTCTTGGTATATATACCAGATGAAAGATATGGGGAACAGTGCGAGTGGATTTCGAGGAACTGATCTTTGGACCAACCTGTCCAGGCCATGCATGCCGAGTCATCAAGAGAAGAAAAGCTTATTGTAAACGCAGACTGGTTCTGTGAAAGGACGTGCGACACCTCTAGGAGGTCATTAATGATTTCGGACGATTTTGATGGTAACTGAGATTCCAAGGAACCTCTACCATCAAGGACAACCTCTGTAGACGGATCTAAGTCGTTACCAATAAGGTGAATGGAGCAGACGCGGGATGAGGTGGGACACCACAGTTTGTGTGAATAGATCAGGTGATGTCTTGCACGTTTTGGTAAGACTGATGATTTTGTTCCATTTCTTGCAAAGGTAACAAGACAGAGACAGCATTTTTTGTGTGAAGATGATCCATTCAAAAGATCATGAAGGGTCAGCAACGGCAGGATATGGGACGGGGAGTCGTCTTCTTCCTCTATTTCCTGGTTCTGCTCGGGTTCAGGTTCAGGCTGATTTTTGTTCCGAAGATACTTCATGTAGCACTTCTGGCAAATAAGTGCTTGTTCCTTTGCTGACATCAATCCTTGTTGCACCAGCGTATCTAGGAGCCATTTATATTGTGGACTATTTACATTGCGTGCACTTCTGTTCTTATTGCCACTACGTTTCTTGAAGTATACTTGACACCCTTCTCCAACACATTTACCCTCCATCTTGAAACAATAACGATTGGTTTATGAAGCGTCGATAAAGTAACAAAATAGCAAGCCACCGATGATTGCTGTAAACAGCTAATACTTAGTAGTTTGGTACAATTATGCGAAAATGTGTGATAAATAACGAACAACTAATTACACAAAATAACAAGACAATATAATAAATCACATTCAATACCTCCAAGAAGCGCAGAATTGATTGATTACTTAGAACAAAATAAAGTATTTCATATGGATAATCTATCTATTCGATGTGGCGTGGTCGGCAGGCACAAAGAAAGTGAGACAAGTCAGGGTCCCAACCCTGACAGAGCCACAACGCTTTGGAGATGGGACAATAAAACAAGGAAAGTGAGACAAGAATAGCTAGCGTCGAGTCAATGATTCCGTAAACGTATAGACAAAGACAAGAAGATACGGATAAATGTACAAGGCCACACGATCAGAAAATTCAGAAGAGGACAACTTGAGATAGAACAGTATTCATGTATCAGGGTGTCCTCAGTGTAAATCTTTATATCGATACTGTTTATTTAGTCGTTACACATCATAAAACTGTCATGAAAATATCCGCTCTGATATTCAATATAAAAGTTTGTATATAATAAGCTATATAATAGGGTTTCAGACAAGGTTGTTACTCATTTCCCCTTTTCTTTCAATTTACAACCACATTCAGGCGGCGATATGAGAACGTTCCACCACATGGAATTAGCTGATTTTTGGTACACATATGAAACAAGTAAAGCTCTATCCGATTTTCTGATGGAAATTTGCATCCAAAACTATATAACGGGAGAAAATTGCAATTTTATGGCATTTTTCTTCATAATTGTGTCTCTGCAAGTGCATTTTCATCCGAGAATATTTTTTTTTATGTTTTATGAATAAACACGATGTTTTGGAAATATTTATCAAAAGAAATTTATACTATGTTGCGAATTACAATTTCGAGATAACCTTCTTTTATTTACGAACTTATGTCTTTGATGCTGAAATTGACAACTTTATAAAAATACATTTTCACTGAAATTATGAAATCTGGGTGTCGGAAAGGTGTAAAATTATTCTTCGGAAAAGAAAAAAACAGTAGTTGAGCTAGATAAGAAAGTATACGGGGGCAGGCTCCTATGGAGAATTAACATTACTGGAAACAGGCCCTTTTCATCCTCCTAAACCACGTACATCCTCGATACTCCAGGGGTTGCGCACACTTTCGCTCCCTGAACCCTTGTCACACGTCCTAGAAAAACCGAAGGCTCAGTGTGAGGTACCTTGTGATACAAATTAAAAGAATCTGGCAGTCGCCAAACGATAAAGTTGACAGGCTTTGGAACGGGTTTAAGCCTAGTGATTAGTCAGGTGTTTTTTTACCCGAGACCAATAAATAGCTAACTACATATATAACTGTGTGCCTGTAATTTTGCTATCACATATTACAGGGGGACAGAGAACGTAAGAGAACGTAACCCATGGAGTATCGAGGATAAACCAAGTGTTACAATGTATTCACATAATTTAAAAAGGAATAACTCAAAAATTCCTTTATTTTAGAGTATATGTGCCGTTTAAGATTTCATCATTGAAAGAGGTATGGCGGAAAACTGCCCGTATTTCCCTAAGTCGGCATTTATGAAAACGGGGAGAAAAAATTAAGGAATAAAACATTTCGTGTAGCAAAAATGCATACAAAAGATTCAAAACCAATTGAATATCAATTTTTAAACTGCTGAGAAATTAGGTATTGCTAATATAATACTGCAAATATAGCCATATACACTATATCTATGAAAGAGATTGGGTTTCCCGGACTTAAAAAAAATACTTTCAACACTTTCCCATCCAAGGACCAACTTTTGAACAAACTTTTTGTGACCGTGATGTAATATGCCAAAACAAATCGTATTACGGAAAAGTGGTCCTCCTTTGGGAAAGTGCTCAAAATAATGAAAAACAGGGGTGATCAAGTTTCTCTAAACTGCGACCGATGTTGCTAATATCTGTATGTTCTATGTAGCCGAATGTGTAACGCAGTTTACTTGTGACTAGAAAATAAACGGTGCAGGTTCGAATCCTCCTTCAGTTATTTATTTTTTTTAAATATTTAGGCATATGATCATTTTCCTTAACAAGGCAATTTGGGTTTTTTAGTTCGATAGAAAATTTTGTTTTCAATTTAATAGCATATTGTGTGATTTATCAGTTTTGTTAGTAATAATTTCTTTACTATTTAGTGCGACAGACTTCTATCGAAGCATGTCAACAAATCCCTGTACATGTGTACAGTACAGCTACGCTTTGTAGGTAAGACTATTTTTGATGAAATTTAGGAATTGTTTTACCCTCCAACTGGCAATAGTAATTATATCAAGTACTTAAACACCAACAAATAATGCCGAAATACCAAATATGTGGTCTGTTTACAATAATCTATTATTAGACACGGGATTCCGATATTGCTACATGTATAAAAATACCTGAGGACGCGTCATAACAGTGCACGGTTGGATGCGCGCACTAGCGTAAAAAGCTTTGGGTAAATAGGCATAGCAATCCGCCATATCTCTTTGCGGTTTTAAAGAGGAAATAAGAGACATGGCTTGTATATGTAGGAGGTGTTAAAATGAAAAGTTGGGCCGGATTGGCAGAGATATACATTGTAGTTACAGACAGGAGTAAAAGTATTTGTCATGGGAGCAGTTTGGTTCGGTTTTATATAGTTTAAGGTCTCAGTGGTCATTTAAGGATGTGCGTCCATTTGTATATTTTATGAATGTATGTTGTAAGTGTGCAGGGTATGTTGGTGTAATTGGTTCCTTGCAATAGCATCGATCTGATGTCGACTTTATAGTGCTATCTCACTGAAATACCATCGGCCCGGTCACATAATTGTGACTATGGATGAACCAGATGTTGTATTTTCCTTCATTGCTGAACGTTAAGTTGGGTCAGACAACTACAAAGTTTGAAGGACTTTGGTATGTCCCGGCACGGGGACATAATCCATTACCTCCCTTACCTAGGCAAGCTTTCAACATCAAAGCCAAACGTATGATATCGCCAAGCAAGGTCATTGGAAAGGAAAAAATACATGTAGTTTAAAGTAGAGAGAAATAAAGGGAAAGGAATCACAAATATAAATAGTGGTCAGTAATCTAAGGTAGTAACTGTAAGCGTACCTATTTCATCGGTAGACTGATTTCAGCACTTTTTGCGCTTTAAAATATGCGCTCAATTACGAATGCGCGAATTGAAATTCCTATGTACAGTTCCCTATAGAAAATGCGCTAAATTGTTAAATTTCGGAAGTGCCCTAAAATTTGAGTGCGCTAAAATAATTACGTTTTCAGTATATTAAGAGGAGAATGGATGACCTTAAGAGATTTAGTTACGTGTATATGGATGTGGACATACGGTGGAAGGGGGTGTTTGGCGGTGGCTAAAAGTACGATATGGTTAGGTAAATGTCAGAGTTGTGAAATAAAAGTATTGGGGAGGATGTAGAAGAAAGGGGATAGGAATAAAAGAAGTGAATGTTGCAAGAATATATATAAGTTTCTCGTTCAGTTTTTGCCATTCCCTTTAAATATAAGACAATTCAAAAGTGACAGCGTGGGTATTGACTACGAAACCGCATCGCCAACTAATGAGTATATCAAAAATTCGAGTCTCATATTACTAGAGAAAACGGAATATTTCCAATGGGATCACGTTGGCGACCATGTGTCTTGTCCATAGTTCTCATTGAAAACCTTTGTTGCAAGTTTGCCGTCAGAAGTCGACATCTATCAAGGAATCGTGTTCAAGCTCTGGAATACCGAATAAACTGCGACATGACACCGTTTGCTGGTGCAACAGGGATGTTACTATCAAAGAAGGGAACTTCCACAACTGGAAAATCGAAATCGTCAAGCTTAAGAATAATAATTGCTTAAGTAACTTGACATTGGAGAGCTGTAATATACAATGAGGCTTTTACCAATAAATATGTTTCATTCCATACGAATCAAAACGGCTGGAAACGGCTTGTGCATTAAATAAGTTCAGTTGGAATTATTATTTAAAAGGCATCTAGCATAATGCTATAACTGTACAGTAAAATCTTATAAGAACTTCAAGTGATAGGCAAAATAATCAACCGGGACTCGCTTAACTAACACGCAGGCAAGCATGCACCAAACATTGATATATTATTAGTTACATAAATTATGACAAAACAGCGTGTCTTTTAAAAAATAATTAATAAAAAATACTTCATACCAAACAAGTCATATTCACGCAGTGAAGAATACTATCGTAAATATCTGAAGAGTTGTATGTTAAATATTTGGTTGGAAGGTGCAGATAGTTTTGCTAAAGTTATATATTATTATATGCTTAACGACCCATCAACACATACGAGATCATAAGGACCAATAAATGGTCGATAAAACATGTTAAAATATATGACATCATAAGAATTGTGAAACACAAACGTCAGCGTGTTTTAATAAGGTTGATTATATCTTTTGAAACATAGAAACAAAAGTAAAGATCTCACTGTTTCATAAACAGATTATACACGNGAGGGGGGGGGGGGGGGGGGGGGGGTAGTTGCTAAGGAAATCCGCAATCTTGGATCCAAGATGGCGCCTTATTTAGCAACCACCTTAACCTACGCATAAAGAATGTATAGACAACGACGTGCAAGCGGCCAGTATTATTACACACTACCCTGCAAGTATATTGTCCAAATAGAATCACTTACCTTACTCTTTTATTATACCGTTAGCTAATGTATTATTGTGAATTGTCTACGTGTAAACTATTATTTTTAGTTCAAACAAGGACGCAACACCACCTGCTACAACACCTTCCAGAGCACCGACACACTCACTTCCTACACAAACAAAATGTCATCTCAATTTAATACCACACGCGAAAACATGAATTTCATATTGTAAATAACGCATGTTGTAACTATTTATTGTTTTTAATGTTTTATGCATAAGATTATTAAGGAAAATGAAAATTCGTGATTAAAACAGAGCAGGAAAAGAAAAGAAAAGAGAAGAAAAACCAAAACAGCGGCGAGAGAGTCCTGGAGAGAATACCTGAAATCTGAAGCAAAATGCTGAAACAGTGGAGTTAATTCCGTCATTAACACAAAATTGATGACGTCACACGCAAAACACGCACCCTATTGAAAACAGGGGGAGATAATTCCGGTGGTAACGCGAAAAATGATCGAGAGAGAGAGTGTCCCGGAGAGAATACCTGAATTCAGAAGGTAAAAAGTTAGAAACAGGGGGAGTTAATTCTGTCGGTTACGTCAAATTGATGACGTCACACACAATACACACACCTATCTATAGAAAACAGTGGCAGATAATTCCGTCGGTAACGCAATGCACACACTACGATGAAGTGGGGTAGAGGGGGCCGTAGGTTTAGGTGGTTGCTATGGCACCATCTTGGATCAAGAATGGCGGATTTCCTTAGCAATATTTACACAGTTATAACACACGGGCAACGTTTAAAGGGGCTGGTTGGGGAAAAAATGTCATGTTTGCTAAAATGGCATACACATGTTTAAAATACCTTCTTATGAAATATACCGATTCAAATTTTGCTGAAATTCACTCCCTAAGAGTAAAAATTATAATCATATTAAAGAAATCCTAAATCGTCACCTGACAGTCTAAAACTCTCAATTGACCCAGATCAGTGATGTAATTTTACCGCATGCGCGTCATCAACAAGGCATGCAAAAGCCATGACAGGCACGAGGTATCGTCAAAGAACGGATACAGAGTCCACTACAAAACGCAGATCGTCAAAGAACGGATACAGAGTCAACTACAAAACGCAGAAAAAAGCAATGGGCGTTGGACAACCCTTTATAAAGACTTTGGAAGCAGCATATAGTAGGTGGACACGAACACGCAACGCAAATTCTTCACGATAAAATGGGCCCTAACATAATAGGATTTTCTGTGAAGGTGATCTTAAGGTAACTACTAGAAATATCAGCGTTGACGATAGATTTTTTATTAACGAATTCAAATAGCACCTAAACAAAGAATATCAATAGACACGTATAGATTATGTATAATGAATTTACCTGTTACTTTAGTCATAAAAGTTTGAATAGCACCAGTTGCGCAGATGATTATACACAACAAAGTGTATATGTGTATATGAATCCTGAAATACTGCAACATTTAAATGTTCATAAACACACCTAACATTTTCCGAATAAAAATATAAGTGAAAACGGGTAAAGACATGTGAATGAAATAATATCCCGTTACGGGACATTCAACGCTCAGATAGTAACTCAAGGTGTTTATTACAATACTATCGTTTCTTATACTTTAATGCATATTTGTATAGGTTCCAGGTGAATGCCGCTTCTTTGGCAAAGGAGGAATGAGGACGGACACAATTCCAAACTGGATGAAGACATACTTGAGGGCATTTGATGCGGACGCTGTCTTTATCCAATTGGGTGGTAACGATATTCGGCAGAACTCGAACCCGAGAGAGATTTTCAACCGGCTTTCTGTGCTCGAGGAAACACTGGCAGAGAAGGGTGCAGCAGTGTACATCGCTGAGATTTGTAGACGCGGAGATTTCAGCAAAGCACCTGGATTTACTGCGGAATCTTTCAACAAGCAGAGGAATGCCATCAACAGATTCTTACGGACGAAATATGGAACACGCGTCATCAGGATCCCCCTTCAGTACCCAGCCGATTACGATGATAGACTTGTCCACTTTTCAGAAGCTGGAAATAGGAAGTATTCTTTGTGGTTAGGAGAGGGTTTTTTCAGAGTTAATCCAGACATTTGACGATTTACTTTTGTATGTTAATTGTGAACTGTATTCCACAGAGAAACAAACTTATACACAATTAATCACGTATATGTGTATCATGGTATCTAACTTTATTAATTAATTATATTGTAGATTTCTGTATTAATGATTGTTCATGTAGTTCACTGTGTAACTTTATATATCAAAGAATGTAGGTGATACCGGTATAATGTTATTTAGTATACATATTCAAAATTTGAATGAAATCAAAATAATTTGATATCGGTTTGACAGAAAAATATTTAAATAGGCTTAGCCTGTTGTATTAATACATGTACTGTTATATTTCTTATGTAGTACTTGTAATTATGTTTGTTTGTATTAACAATAAAATATTTAAAAATATTTTGAATTTAAATCTGACTGGACGAGTGTGGTGGAATTGCCTTCAAAGTTGATTGAAAGTTTTGAAAAATCTAGTAAAATATTTATACAAATACATGGAGTTTACTTACTTGTAATTGCATCGTTGTGTATATTGTCTTGTCGTTCTTGAACGATTTACCTCCCTTTACTTGCAGCGATATATTTTGTAAGTCACTAATTACTTCCGTATTTCCGCAGATGATAAAACAAATTGCATACATTCGTTACAGTTTGTAAAATAATTTACTATTTCTTCAGTTGATCGCTATCGGTGAGGTGTTTTTGGATGTGTTTTGGGGTCTTTTGGGGTGTTTTTGGGTAAATCGTCGTGCCGTGCCAGGCTGTCAACTGTTCGCAATTATAGAACATAAGTTGTAAATATTTACTTTAATGTGAATGATTTTGTTGGCAAACGGTACCTTTAAGACGTTATTAGGGCGGACATGTTATCAGTGTCCAGGAAAAATGTAAATTTATGGGAAACTGACACCTTTCTTTCACGTCTGTTTTGTCCGTTTTCAGTGGGGCCCCTTGGGGGGTAATTTTTTTACATAAATTAGTGTACAGACAAAACAAAATTTTGTTTGGGGTGGTTTTCGAAATTATTAATTATTTTTATTATTTTACATGTGTTTTTATCTTTATTTTCAGTGTTATGAAATAAAATGAGAGTTTTATAACATCAATTAGTAAATTGTAAGGCCTATCAGACGAGTATAATTTATTTATAATTCTCCTACATCCAAGATGTTAGAGCTACATGTATATGTAAAAATACAGATTATACTCTGCTGATAGTGATTGCAACCATATCTACTGTACATGTGAATTATTTAATGATGTTCATGGATCCTGAATTCATAGAACTTTGTTTATATTGACAATATTGACGGAGGAAGGTCTAAAGATGAAGATGAAGTTTGTTATATACTACTGCAAAAATAAATATTTCCAGTTAGAAATTTCCTATAAAAGTCGCCGGAAGGGGTTGTGAGGGTGTTTGCTGGTTGATTGCTTTGAAAAATTCTCTGATGTTATAGTAATAGACAGTACCTGAATTCTGTTTACAGTAAATATAAAAACAAATATTATAACCCTTCTCCTTGTATTTAAATATTTCTCATTGATAACGATGATTCATGGGGAACTGTTTTAGCCATCCACCCTTTATTGGTCCAGGGTCAAGAAGAGTGTACATGTGACTTCTATAGCTAATATAGCATCCATCACTGGTGGTGGTATCGTGAAATTCAGTAATTTTTCAATGATATTTCTAAAATTGCAAAATTGTGATAAAAAAGATATTGGGAGAATATTTTATTTTTCAAATATTTTTTTATTTTTTCCATGTTTTAGGTGTGCTTTAGTGACCCAGGTATACATTGTGTAGCCACTGCTCCACCTGGTACTTTAATGGGGGTACATGGCACTTCAATGGAGACACCTACAATTAATGTACATGTAGCACTTCTCGGTCTAGGAAGGCATCACACACATCTACAGGCCTAGGGGCACCGGTAATGATTACATCCACACCTGCCCATAAAGAACCTTGCCTATCTGTAGATACATTATAATTAATGTCCAACGTCTCAGATATAGAATAAGTACATGTACATGTATGTATATACTTTTATGGAAAATATCACCCACAATGAGACACATAAATTTTCGTAATATATATTATGTATACATCACATGTATGATAGGCTTAGCTAGTAACACTTGTGAAATGTGTACTGTATGTATGTATACAGATGGTAAATTATAATAAAATTGAAACATTGCCATGAGATCTTGGGTCAAAAAATATAATTGTATTTTGCATTAGACCAGTTTTAATTATATGTCCGAGTACGACTTTTTCTGGGAATACTGTTTTACCCCATTCCGCCCGTGTGTCCGTCTGCTGGTTAAAGATTTTCTGTAGTTTTGGGTAAATCTAAAAAATTACAAGTGGTAGGCAAAAGAAACATGAAATGATGTATTATAATGAATAATGCAAAACAAATATGACATCAGGTTGTGTGAAGCTTTAATTTTCTGACATTTTTGGTGTAAAAACCATATAATTTGTACTTCGCAAGATTTGAGAAAAGGTCTACTGCAAATAAATCAGGGCAAAGGCAGCATTCATGTTTCTAGTTTTTTTTTTTCCAAACATTCTATTTGCCCAGTGATGAATCTACATTTATTTTGTGTGTATCATTTCCAGTTTCGGTAAAACTAGCGGGTCCACCATGTTACAGTATTTCAATATTTCCATAATGTTATGGTTCCTAACAACATTTTCTGACTTGCATGCATATTTATCAGTTGGCCCCAGAGGGCCCAGACACAGGGTAGGATAGGGTGATGAACAGATTTTATATTTGGTTATAATTATTACATATGTACTACAGTAGATTCACTAGATTGCCTGAAACATATTGATGCAATTAATTCTCTGAATCTTACATGCATAGCCATAGATTCTGGTAAATAATATTCTTCTTTTATTTTCATATTGCAGAGCTCAGCCATCTCACTCATATGATATATCTGGTGTGGAAAAAATGCATCAGACTCGGAAGTTTATAATGGTTATATTCAATGGAGTAGCTATCAAAGCAAAAACATACAAAACATATTGATGTACAGGACTACATTTTACACCAAAATACCATACATGAAGCTTGTAAGTGGGGCAACTTTAAAATGAAGAGAGATGTAAGACAATATTGAATAAGACTTCCCTCGCTACTCATTTATAATTATAACACATGGACAAATGGTTGTTTGAATGAAATAATGAATGTGTGATTAAACTTCAGCAATGAGATGGATGAATAAATCATGTAAAAAACAAAAAATGAATGAATGTATGAACTAATGATTGTCTGAGACTCGAAGTATGGTGTACAAGACCCCTACTACGAGAGAACATTTATTGTAAAGAAGCTGATTCCAGGGCCCCAACCCTGGCAGCTTTCAATTGTAAATTTTAATCTGGAACAATAAAAATTTGAAGACAAAAAATGAAAGCATTTTGAGTTTCTCGGCTCCTTTCATAAGATCAGTAGACACAACAAAGAAACCGTAACTGACAATATTTGTCTAAAATTGAGACTTGTATACAGAGAGACTAGTTAGTAAGTTGTTCTTTACCTAAACTCCTCGTGGTATGGGGTTATTTAAGACGAGAGGCCTTGGAAGGCCCAATATGCCTGTTATTATAGTCCAACTTTTATTGGTTATGGTTATATATAACTACATAATGATAAAAGATGAAAGTATACAAATACAGGTATACAGCAAGTTTGATTTTAAATGTGACTTTGAAATTTAACCAGGTGATATTTAACTGTGGCCATGTGATTCCTTGATGGATTCCAACCAACTCTGCTTCAACAAAATTGACCTCTATAACCTTCACCTTTGGTCGTGCAACCCTTGTTCTATCTTCATCTATAACATCCAAGTTTAGAGCCATGAGTCTTACAGTGATTCAGTTATTTTTAACAGACCTGAATTAATTTGTATTCGCCTTTTTGATAACTGAGGGATTTTTTTTAAATCACAGAATATGTATGCAATCATTTTTATTTTATATATATGATATAATTATGTGGTTTATGATTGCATAATTAAATATTGTAGGGCAATTAGTATGTGTAACTCGTGTACATTCAAACATTCTGCTTTCTTTATATCACAGTAAAAGTAGAATAGATTAAAACTGGATCTAAAAAATGATGTTGTGCCTAACAAACACGTTTATAATCTATCGATATGCCTATTTATCACTGTTTCTGTGGCCATGTGATTATATGCCTGTTTACTTTAAGTTGAAACGTTTTCTTCCCTTCAAGTTTGGTCTAGATACGTCTTTGGGCCGTTTTAATTATTTAATTAGTATTCCCGACAGTACCAGGCAAACACGTGTTGTGTTTTCATTAACGATATGCTTCTGTTGCTTTAAAATAGTAAATACATCTTTACAAATGAAACGATGACATTGATGACGGGATTTAGATTACCCCTGATGGGGCCCCCATCGCTACATTGGACGACGATTTGCAGTGATTTCCACGTTTATTGATATTATCATCAATACCGTTATATATAACAATAAAATATCGGTAGGAATACTACACTTGCATCATACATGACATTTGAAAACAATTATTTACGTGTAGTATTGCTGTCTTGTCCGCTACTAGTTGAGTCCGACATGGTGCTATTGTTGATATCTTCACTGCCTCGCTTTCGAAACAACCACGTGACATATATAAATAGATTTGTGCTAAATTTACGCGGGGCTTTCCCCGATATTTCAGTGGTCAAAACTGGACATTGCAAGCAGAACTCGGCCATAATTTTGCATACCACTTTTGGAAGGCCAGAGAACGCACTTAAACTCATTTATTTTGTAATTTTTTTCCTCGACCAGCCCCTTTAAATAGATATAAATACACATATAAACTAAGTCCAAAGATTCACACACAATCGGCTTCGCTATCAGTCAAATATCGTTGAACATGTCATTAAATAGAACGCACAGGCGCTATAACTGGGTTCGGTAAAGTAAAAGAGGTAAAA